CGATGATCTAGTATACAGCAGATGTATATCATTGTATCACCTCTGGTCTTGTCTTTTCTCTCTTGTTTTCAGCCAGAGACATTCAACAAGTCTGCTTCTCACATTCTGCAGAACTTTAGAAAAAAGGATATGTATTATTGACATAAAATTTAATGTCTCCTTGCTTTTTCCTCACCTACCTTTAGTGAACAAGCTAGATCAATACTCTACTCATGTGATTTATCCAAACACTAACTCATTTCAGAATTGAAACACTCTGAAGGTATGGAAACATTTTTCTTAATGTCCTCTTAGTTAACCAGCCAGACAACACTGTGTACCTTACCTACGAGCTCTGCTGGAAGAAAGAATGAATTATGTATAGCAGAATAATACAATACCATACGAGGTCTTCTCTCTCATTAGATGAGTAAGAAGAGGTGATTTTGCATGTTCCAGACTGTTACAGTACAGGGCATACTGACTGATAAAATGAATGGTGATGTTAGGAAATGCAGACAAAAGGACATGGGATGAAATTACAGAAAGTTAGTGGAGGAGGAAGGATCAGGTTGTCTACAGGAGTCAGAATGGCCATGAAAAGTGGAGGATATCGGGTGACTAGCCTGGCTCTTTTAGTAGCCAGACATAATAGTACCTCACATGTGGGAAGACCCTGAAGTCGTAAACCCAGTTGTGATTTGCAAGGCATAGAGCTTGACTTAACTGGAAGACTTCAGGGAGATAGCTAAGTGTCAGCATGTTTGTGGCATTAGTGACATGTAAGGTCTGATCCTTGAAGGAGCAAATATTTAACCTCATCTATGTCTTTGAAGCTTTTTCAGTTTTAATACTATTTTTACCACCAGACCTCTCCCAACTATAATGTTAATACAGGTAATTCTGTCAACAATATCCCTTTCTAAAGAATAGCTCTTTATTATCCCTGGTGATATGTTTCCATGTACTACAGAAAACAGTCAAGAGTATGGGTGAGCAGTTCAGACCACAAAAAATGAAATAAGCAAAGTATATTCACATTTGGAAAGAACATACTGCAAACAGGAAAGTTGTAGATATAATATTTTAAAAGTAAAAGTATTTAATTTAGAATAATTTTTTTATTATTAAAGATAAAAATAAAATGGTGATATTTATATCAATCATATTTTACCGTCTGGTTCCAAAGCATTTTATGCAGCCAGCCCAGTCAGTTCTCCAGGACATAATGTCTTAGAAGGATGTCAGATAATACATAGCCTAAGACAATAGCAGATATTTTCTCAAAGCTGGGAGTCTGAATACTTTACTTGACTTTCAGAAATGTAGGCTGTACAGTTTTCTGATTATTTTCTCCATTTATTTTATATCCTTTGAATAATGAGTGCTAATGAATAATGCTGGACTGAGTCTTAGTGACTGTGCTGTTCTTTAAGAATGGCAGGGGAGGGAAAAGCACAGCACACACAATGCGGTCTGTAAAGTGGCACGAACACTGTTGTATCTGTTTGCTTTCAAACTGGCTTGTTTTGGGGACATAGTTGGGATCACACACTTGTTTATTCATCCCAGTCTGTGAAGGCAGTTACTACTGATGCTGGGGTCTTGAGATGTTGATTGGCATTGAATGCAATTATCAGCCTATTTCATATTAGATTCCGCCCCCCC